AACCGGTTTCAAGTAAAACTAACGGAAACTAGAAAATACATTTCCTGGATAGAGCTGTGCCTGAAACTAAGATCGTCAGGGAGTCCAATGTCAAAATGGCAAAAGACAATTTGGAGAAAATTAAAATTGCAGTACAAGACAACAAAAGAAAAGGTACTTCTCCAAATTGTCGATTCCCTTAAGGCAAAAATAAAGGTTTGGACTGAAAGAAAGAAAAAATGGGAAAAGAAAAATAAATTCATCAAACAAAATAAACTTTTTAGAAATAATGAAAAACACTTCTACAGGCAATTGAAAACAAAGGGTGATGGTGAGCATGATAAACGGCCTTCCATGGATGCCAATGAAAGGTTCTGGAAACAGTTGTGGTCTGTACCCGGCGACTGTAACCTGGAGGCACCATGGGTCCGTGATTATGACCATGCAATTCATGAGAAAGTAAATAGGTTGTCTGAAAAGTGTCATCAAAAAGTCCAAATCTAATACAGCTCCAGGGCCTGATGGCATTCGAAACCGGCATTGGAAACTGTTCCCCTGTGTCCAAACACCATTACTTCACTGTTTCAATACTCTCGTGGACACAGGTGATGTTCCTCCATGGTTCTGCAAAGGTCGCACAATACTCCTTCCCAAGAAAGGAGACTTGACTGATCCCAAAAACTTCCACCCTATCACATGTTTGAATACACAATACAAAATATTCACAGGGTGTTTGACAAACCTCGTGTCATCTTACTGCTCTTCCAATGATATAATTTACAGAGAGCAGAAAGGGGCGAGAAAGGGATGTTGGGGGTGCAAGGATCAACTTCTTGTACAAAAAATGATTTTGGAAGAGGCTAAAGCATATCACCGCTAACCTCTCCATGTGCTGGATTGACTACAAAAAGCATACGACTCTGTTCCTCACTTAATGGATTCTGAAGTCTCTTCATTGTATTGACCTCCCTGAGCGACTACTTGATTTTACTCAAGTCTTTAATGAGTTGCTGGTCGACACAACTTGAGATGTACTCGCAAGGGCAGGTGCAGACTTCGGAATCTATTCCAATCAGAAGGGAATTTTCCAGGGGACTCCTTTAGTCCTTTGCTTTTTGTTTGTCTCTAAATCCTTTGAGCTTTCTGCTCAACAGAGAGGAGGGTTACCATCCCGACCTCCTCAGCACAGATCCCCAACACCTCTTACTCATCTCCTTTACATGGATGACATCGAGCTCCTTGCAAAGGAGATTCCAATTTGAAAGAACAGGTTCTCATTGTCGAGTCCTTTTCTAATGATATTGGCATGACATTTGGACTTGACAAATGTAATACTCTTCATTTGAAACGTGGCAAGGTAGTTAATGATGGATCGGTCAAGTTACAAGGGGAGGAGTTATGGAGCATCTTGTGGAAGATCAGGCCTACACCTATCTTGGAATGCAAGTTCGAGACAAGCTCCAGAATGCCCAAGTTCAAGAAAAACTTCGGCCGAAAGTACAAATCTTGTTTAAAGAAAATCTGGAGCTCAGAGCTAAATGCTCGAGAAACAAGGTCAAAGCCACCAATACTTTTGCTGTGCCAGTCCTCTCCTATTCCTTTGGAGTAGTTGACTGGATCGAAACAAGACATCCAGAGTCTTGACCGCCTGACCAGAAGGATCATGTCTGATAACAGAGCCCACCACCCTCGTTCCTCTCTTAACCGTTTATACATGCCAATCAATTCTGGAGGTCGGGTTTGATTAATGTGGAGGCTCTTCATGATAGAATTTTATTGTGTACTTTTGCACATATTTATTTATCAGATGATCCTCTAGTGATGCATGTGAAGACTCATGATGAAAGCAAGGAATTCCACAGCTATTTTAAGCGTGCAAAGGTTGTTGGACAGAATCTGAGATTTGAGGTTGATTTTGTTGATGGCGATGTACTGCTGGACGGTACAGTGATGGGAGTAAACCAGGTGAAGTCCTTCACCAAGTCTGCCCAGGGTCGGTCTTTTGTGGAGAAGCTTTCTGAGAAGCCATTGCATCGTGTGTACATGCAGTGTGTTGAACAGAATAGCAATCCCACCCGACTCATTCGCCTGGATGAAGTCGGCTGGTCTTAAATGTGAAACTGAGGGCTTCCTTTTGCTGCTCAGGACCAGTCACTTCCCACTCATAATCGCCTAAATGTGATTCTTAAAGAAAATATCAATATGAAATGTCGACTTTGCAATGAATTCACGGAGACTGTCCAACACCTTGTCAGTGGATGCCCTTCCTTGGCACAAACAACATATCTTAAACGACATGATGGCATGGCTCGTTGCTTTTACTACCGTCTCCGCCATGCCTGTGGCTTTGACTGCGAGGTCCATCCATGGTACGACCCTGAACATGTCCAGGGCGTCATGGAAAATGATGCTTTCAAACTTCTGTGGAATAGGCCCATATACAGCCTCAGAAAAATTCCTGCCAACAAACCTGATCTTGTCCTTTTTGATAAAGCCAATGAATTTATTTATATCATTGAATTTTCTGTCCCTTTTGACACCAATGTGATTGGCAAGATTCAGGAAAAGCATGATAAATATGCGGACCTCGCCTTTGAAATGTCTCGCTTGCATCCCAAGTACACTGTCGTCAGGCTCCCCATTGTTCTCGGTGCCCTTGGTTTGGTACCTCCTGATCTCTTGGGGCAGATTAGGAGAGTGCCCGGGTTCTCCACCGGGAGTACAGCCCTTATGACACTCTGGGTAATGCAGAAGGCTGCAGTGTTGGGGAGCCTTCATATTCTCCGGAAAGTTCTTGGAGGGTTCGACTAGGCAGTGTTTCCTGGGAGAAGTCCCATTCGCTGTCTGGGCTGCGTGTAGAGGGGGCAAGGGCCCTGAGCTGATGATGAGCCTTACCAGCCTGACTGTGCCAGGATCACCCGAACCCTCTCTGCTGCATTTTCATCTTTAATCTGTAACACATAATAATAATAACATGTTGCTTTAACAGAACAGAAACAGTACATGTGAATGAAATATTCAAAGATAGCAGGCTGCGGTTAAGGTATGTGACCTGGGTGTAAAGTGAAAGTAGGTTAGTGCATTTCAAGGAAGGCAGATGGTGGTTGATTTCTTAGAATTCATTCTATACCTGGAAATAAATACACAATATAACTCCCATTTGTTTCTTGAAGCTTATACATACATAATACATTAGCATACTCCATCAGGCACAGCGTTGCCAGGCACATTCTAGTATAGCCTGTATCAGCAGTTTCAGAGATACAGGAGATTCAGTGAACACCTGGTGTCATCTCTGATTTTAGCGATCCATTCATATAACGCTCACCACATGTTCACCATACAGTGAAATAACTGTTCACCAGCAGATACCAGGGGCGATAAAAAAGTATGTAGAATCACCAAGAAAACAATACAAATGAAGTTATTTTTATGTTTTATTTTTCTACATATTATCTGTCAAGCTCAAGCAATTTGGTTTTGCTATGTTCCAGTCTCACAATCCCCATTTTGTTTGACCTTTTCTCTTGGTACCCTCAAAAAATGCAAAATCTACAATAAATGCATCAAAAACTTCACGAAACAAAATATGCAAGAAATATTTTGTGTGTTTGAGATTGATAGAAGTCCCCTAGAATCAAATGTAGATATTTAATGTTCATAAAAAGCAATTTGAAATTACAATCGCTTGTTAAAAGTGACTCCCCTTCATGTTTACTGATAGAGCTTGTTTTGGAGACACTACCCATCCCCTTTCAGATGGCGTAATCATAAGGGCATAGCTTATTCTAATGTTTTCACTGATGCATACATGATGCCAAGGGTTCAAACTAAATACTGAATGGTCACACAAGTGTCAGCTGACAATATACTGTAAACAGAGCCAGCTTGAATATCTGGACACATTATTTTTGAAGATTAAAATGGGGGTGTCCTTAAAAAATAGCCCCCGACTAAATATAAATCAGGCAATCCAAATCTTTGACTGTTGATCATGACGGGAAGACATCCAATACTATACTGAACATATTTTATATGACATTATGAGGGCATACCATTATCCAGGAGACCAAACCTTCACATGACAGTTTATTTTCTTTTGTGTATATTAAGGACATTTTACAGAAAGCAGCAGCATGGAAGGAATATAAAACTGCACCATGCTACAGATTTGATGAGTACAAGAACCAAGCATGTTTACACTCAATCTCTAAAAACATACCTTCAACCTCAGTATGGTTTTCATAAGAGCTACTCTATGTCAGAGTCAGAGCTAGTATTACAGTGAAGTCATGTAAGATGACATGTGATTGTCATGCGTGTCATCAGATCAGCTGTAATTCAGCAAGGGATGTGTTCATGTTAGCAGGGCGCTGAATACTTTCAGACTCAAGCTGTTGAGGGCTACACTCAATTCCAACCCTAACTGAATAATACCCAAATATGTTAAAAAATGGTTCTACTTGTTGCCCTGTTGTCTGTTTGGAATATAATATTGTGTTGAACAGCAGCATGGTGTGTCCACACACACACGCACGCACGCACGCACGCACGCACGCACACACACACACACATGCACATATGCACACACATATGCACATATGCACACTCCTGCACATGCACACACTTGCTTTCGCACACACACAGACATTCATATACACACATATGCCCACATAAACACACTTGTACATGCACATGAACACACACACACACACACACACACACACGAACAAAAAAAGAACATACACACACTGACATATATAGACACACATGGATCCTAACGCTCTCTCTTCTGAGAACCCTTGAGCTATTCACAGAACAAGTTTCAGCCCCGACTGTGCATACAAAACCTGCAATATGAACTAACTGATGTGAATAGGCCATTGTTATTTGATTGCGTTTAGATCTCAGGTGGTGTAACACTACCACGAACAACAATATATGCCCTTATAAGGATGAACACCAATATATGCCCTTATATGGCACGCGTGGTGTATAAAATGCACAACTTTTGATTGTTGAAATGTTTCTGTCAGTGCCAAATTGTCTGCAGCAAGGACTGTACCAAAAATGCACCATTGTACATATTGATCTAACTAACTAGAATGTTTAATGAGGGGAATCACCACTGGGAAGTACGCTGGTTTCATACCTAGAAATAGACATGACGTGTCCCTGTGATATCTGTACATATCTGCCGACACACTTGTGTATGGACCTGTAATTAAGCAGCATCGACAGTCCCACGATCAATACCATGGAGAACTTTGTAAGTAAAGGATGTCAAGTCTCTTTATAAATGTAGATGTTTCATTTTGAAAGTTATATCAATCCCTTTAACATAATACATATTGGCAAGTCTATTTGTGACACCCCTTGATATCATTCCTGAAGTGAAAAAGACTAGCAAGTATCTACTGTTACCACAGGGTGTCTGGGTGTTATACTCTTCTCCCTAGGCAATCTGTCTATCCACTCTTGTTCCGGGGATGATGTAGCTAAGATGGATAGTCAAAGATAAGCCTGGTATGTTGTTCAAGTCCATTATTATTTAAATGAATTCTAACACAAAGGTCCTCAGATATTGCCTAGCTTTCCTGGTCTACACACAACACAGATTCACAAACATCATGGAAGAACTTGTCGATTCCTTGTACAACTCCTAATACAATAAGTTCATCTGAGCCATTCTCTCAATATACAGAGAGAACCTCTCAGTCAACGGTGGGGCCCAGAATCGCGCTCTCTTTCCCAGTCAACTAACAAAAGTCTTCATAACAAATTTGGCTCCTCCCCCTGAAATAATGTCCTAGCCCATATAAAAATGACTCATATTCCAGCTGCACCACTAACTACAATCATTTCCTCTCTTCCAAGACTTAATCGGTACCATCTATTTCTTCCATTATAAATTTACTTTGATAGTGAGCTTAATTCGTTCGTGAAGCATTCAACCGAATAAAACTTCAGACTGGCAGACGCCAGAAGAAGCTTAATCGAATCATTACGTGTGTCCATTTTCTGATTCTTAGTATCTTAATTACCAGTAATTTCCTAAATGGTATATGAGTCACCCGATCCACATGTTACACTCATCTCCCTTATTAGATTTTTTGTATGTTCAAGGGAAATGAAACGATATGAATTTGGTTACTCTGGTCAATCCACTTTCCAAGCACAATGACACTTCTTAACTGAACTTCAAATTTTCCTTAAATCTTTACCAAACGTATTTTAAGTTTTCAATTCTAAATATCCTGGTTATACTACTCTTTTTCCAGAATTCCTACAAATCAACTCTCCAGTTCAGGGCTACTAAAGCTGATCCTCCTCGCCTGGAACTAAACATAAAATGGCAGGACATGTCGCACGTCCTTGTGTCTGTCAGTGACAGGCTTGGCCAACTGATATGGCTAGTGCTCTTTGAAAGAAGCGAAGTCAATGCGTTGGTATGGTCTGGATTTCCAAACTCTCGGCAGTTTGTTGTCCAGGTTTATGGCCTGAAAGAGTCCACTCCAACAAATCCAGCCCAACATCCTCATGCTACAGTCTACTTGGTGGAGGCAGGAAAGAAAGTTGTCCTTTCTTGTGTTTCAGGATTTCAAGGTAGGCCGATATTTGACTAAAAAGGTTAATTGGTGTTTAATGTTGAGTCAAAGATTATTGTACTAGAAAGCAACATGTGTGTTGGTCCTGACTGATGACTGAGGCCCACTGAGATACGATCCCTTGGTTCGCTATGGATATATGTTACTCTACTACTAGTACCCTGCCTCCAAACTGACCACTTACTGTTTTGTAGGCACTCAAGGCAGACACTGTATCTATAAGGCCCCGGAGACAGAAGTGGCCTTCAGCGAGTAAGGGGTGCTGTGAAGCTATCACTGTATCCATAAGGCCACACAGAGACAAAAGTGGCCTTCAGTGACCGAGGGGTGCTGTGAAGCTATCACTGTATACATAAGGCCACAGAGACAGAAGTGGCCTTCAGTGAGTGAAGGGTGCTGTGAAGCTATCACTGTATACATAAGGCCACACAGACAGAAGTGGCCTTCAGCGAGTGAGGGGTGCTGTGAAGCTATCACTGTATCCATAATACACAGAGACAAAAGTGGCGTTCAGTGACCGAGGGTGCTGTGAAGCTATCACTGTATACATAAGGCCACGGAGACAGAAGTGGCCTTCAGTGAGTGAGGGGTGCTGTGGAGCTATCACTGTATACATAAGGCCACAGAGACAGAAGTGGCCTTCAGCGAGTGAGGGGTGCTGTGGAGCAATCACTGTATCCATAAGGCCCCGGAGACAGAAGTGGCCTTCAGTGAGTGAGGGGTTCTGTGAAGCTATCACTGTATCCATAAGGCCACACAGAGAGAAATGGCCTTCAGCGAGTGAGGGGTGCTGTGAAGCTATCACTGTATCCATAAGGCCACACAGAGAGAAATGGCCTTCAGTGAGTGAGGGGTGCTGTGAAGCTATCACTGTATCCATAAGGCCACACAGACAGAAGTGGCCTTCAGTGAGTGAGGGGTACTGTGGAGCTATCACTGTATCCATAAGGCCACTGAGACAGAAGTGGCCTTCAGTGAGTGAGGGGTGCTGTGAAGCTATCACTGTATACATAAGGCCACACAGACAGAAGTGGCCTTCAGCGAGTGAGGGGTGCTGTGAAGCTATCACTGTATCCATAAGGCCACACAGAGACAAAAGTGGCGTTCAGTTACCGAGGGGTGCTGTGAAGCTATCACTGTATACATAAGGCCACACAGACAGAAGTGGCCTTCAGCGAGTGAGGGGTGCTGTGAAGCTATCACTGTATCCATAAGGCCACACAGAGACAAAAGTGGCGTTCAGTGACCGAGGGGTGCTGTGAAGCTATCACTGTATACATAAGGCCACGGAGACAGAAGTGGCCTTCAGTGAGTGAGGGGTTCTGTGAAGCTATCACTGTATCCATAAGGCCACACAGAGAGAAATGGCCTTCAGCGAGTGAGGGGTGCTGTGAAGCTATCACTGTATCCATAAGGCCACACAGAGAGAAATGGCCTTCAGTGAGTGAGGGGTGCTGTGAAGCTATCACTGTATCCATAAGGCCACACAGACAGAAGTGGCCTTCAGTGAGTGAGGGGTACTGTGGAGCTATCACTGTATCCATAAGGCCACTGAGACAGAAGTGGCCTTCAGTGAGTGAGGGGTGCTGTGAAGCTATCACTGTATCCATAAGGCCATGGAGACAGAAGTGGCCTTCAGTGAGTGAGGGGTGCTGTAGAGCTATCACTGTATCCATAAGGCCCCGGAGACAGAAGTGGCCTTCAGCGAGTGAGGGGTGCTGTGAAGCTATCACTGTATCCATAAGGCCATGGAGACAGAAGTGGCCTTCAGTGAGTGAGGGGTGCTGTGAAGCTATCACTGTATACATAAGGCCACAGAGACAGAAGTGGCCTTCAGCGAGTGAGGGGTGCTGTGAAGCTATCACTGTATCCATAAGGCCACACAGAGACAAAAGTGGCCTTCAGTGACAGAGGGGTGCTGTGAAGCTATCACTGTATACATAAGGCCATGGAGACAGAAGTGGCCTTCAGTGAGTGAGGGGTGCTGTGGAGCTATCACTGTATCCATAAGGCCACAGAGACAGAAGTGGCCTTCAGTGAGTGAGGGGTGCTGTGGAGCTATCACTGTATCCATAAGGCCCTGGAGACAGAAGTGGCCTTCAGTGAGTGAGGGGTTCTGTGAAGATATCACTGTATCCATAAGGCCACACAGAGAGAAATGGCCTTCAGCGAGTGAGGGGTGCTGTGAAGCTATCACTGTATCCATAAGGCCACACAGAGAGAAATGGCCTTCAGTGAGTGAGGGGTGCTGTGACTGACTGACTGACTGAGTTTAGTTTTACGCCGCTTTTAGCAATATTCCAGCAATATCATGGCGGGGGACACCAGAAATGGGCTTAACACATTGTGCCCATGTGGGGAATCGAACCCGGGTCTTCGGCGTGACGAGCCAACACTTTAACCACTAGGCTACCCCACCGCCCCTGAGGGGTGCTGTGAAGCTATCACTGTATCCATAAGGCCACACAGACAGAAGTGGCCTTCAGTGAGTGAGGGGTACTGTGGAGCTATCACTGTATCCATAAGGCCACTGAGACAGAAGTGGCCTTCAGTGAGTGAGGGGTGCTGTGAAGCTATCACTGTATCCATAAGGCCACTGAGACAGAAGTGGCCTTCAGTGAGTGAGGGGTGCTGTGGAGCTATCACTGTATCCATAAGGCCACAGAGACAGAAGTGGCCTTCAGCGAGTGAGGGGTGCTGTGAAGCTATCACTGTATACATAAGGCCACAGAGACAGAAGTGGCCTTCAGCGAGTGAGGGGTGCTGTGAAGCTATCACTGTATCCATAAGGCCATGGAGACAGAAGTGGCCTTCAGTGAGTGAGGGGTGCTGTGAAGCTATCACTGTATCCCCATGCTTCCAGCCTGATCTTTGGATTCAGGTAGATGATGTCATTGAAATGTCTTACACACCTCACAAATTCCCAAGCCAAATACACATGCCTATCGTTGACAATATATGATTGATTTATTTTAGTCATACAAGTATCTCACAATGTTTTTTATTGTATTCTTTACAGAGAGTGTGGATGTAGACCTGCGTGGGGGGCAACATTATTCCTCCCGAGACAAACTGACTGACATACTGAAGAAGGAGGTAAGCACAGAAGGTCAACCAGAAGGTGATTCAGACAGGTCCCAATGATGGACGACTTCTTGCACTGTTTGATAACTTAACATGTTGATTAAGAGCCACATTATGATCTCATGCTTTAAAACACCTGAACAGGGCTGCAACTATGTGCTTGCTTTTGAAAAACTATTAGAGGTTACTGAGGACTTGAGTTTTCTTTTTCGAAATGTGAACTTTAAACCAATCATTTATATGTAACCCTCAACAAGTTCAACAAAAACTAATATTTCCATTATCATATCCATATCCAAATAAAAAATATATGAGATTAATAAATGGTATAAACTTGAACAGGGCGAACTCCTGATGGAAGTGGAAGAGAAGCCTCAACTGGACACTGTGACAGGACACAGACCTCCAGTAGACTACATCCTCAAACCTACAGTGTCTTCCAGAAGGGCAGCACATATGTGTGTTGTTCTCTGTGAGAGAAATAAGAAGGAGTATATCGTCATGTCGTCTGCTGACAACACCAGCATCCCGCTCCTGCCCGTCTGTGAATCCAGAACCAACTACAAGGTCAAGGCTATTAAAATAAAAGATTGTCAAGTGTACAGTTTTGGCCAGCCCTCTCCGGTCTGCTATCTGTACACACCTCATAAATCAACACAAATCTTACCCATCAAGACTTGTAAGTTGGACATTTTGTCTTCCTTTATTCATCCAAGATCATATTACCAGTAGTGCTATTGTTTTACTGAAACTGAGAGAAAATTGCTGACTGATTTCAAAATCAAGAACTATAAATATTTGAAGATATTATCAACTTAACTTATTCATCTTTTAGGCATGTCAAAAGAGGAACTACAACAGCTAAAAAACATGGCAGTTAATTTCTGTCGGATCAACTCTAGGTATCCCTGGAAATATAACATCACACAGTTCTACCGCAATAAGCCTAAACACTACTACACAAACATCATGTCCAATAGAGGTGGAGTGATGGAGAAGTATATCAAGGACAATAATGGTGACCCATACTCTGCCATCAACCACAAGATCAATGGCCTCTTCTTCAGCGGATCCCTGGATACCCGCTCAATGAATCCCCCAGACTTCTCCTACTTTGGAGATACCAGACTTTTCATCCCAGCAGAGGAACTGTTTACATCAGACACCAGGATGTACTTCGCAGACTTCTTTTGTCACAACAAAGTACATTATGTCACAGCAGTTGTCACTAAGACCGGATCAGAGGAAGACAGATTCTGTGAAGGAAGACTCATTGAGCTGGACTTGAAAGATAATCCTTTTTTCATCATCAAAGAACACACTGAAGGGGATGCACATCGCCTAGGCCATCTGGCTGGGTTATCCAGCAGTTTCCAGTCTCTGTCTGTGTCCCATGGATACGATGGGTCATACCTCAGACATACTTCACCTTACGGTGTGCCATCCCACCAGAATGTTGTCAGAAAGACATTCAGAATTGTGTCTGTCAACAGGTTCCATGTGGAGTTTCTCTACACTGAGGATGTTGACATCAAGGGCTTGATTAGGAGATGTGGGGAGGGCAATGTATATTTCCGACATGTGCAGGGTTTAGGGGTGAGCAAGGTGGATGGAATTCCAAAGAATCCCTACTGCCAAACATGCAACCTTCCCCCTAAGGCTTAAAGAACAGATGCAGTTGACGGACAAAGTATATTTCAAATTTGCGAAAAGTATATCCAAAGAAAGTTACTTACAGGATGTGCAACCTTCGAACAATGATTGTCCCTCTTTAGAAAGAATTTAAGAAGTGTTTGTTATCTGAAAAATATTGCAGTGAAAACATTGCCTATCTGGGACCAGAGACATGAGACACTAGACATTTTCAGAGGCAAACAAACAGCCATAACACTTATGTTTTTGACTTATGACTGAGGCAGTACAGTGGCCAGTCGAATGGACTGATAGACTGAAGTGGGGAAAGGATATGATCAGTCGGATGGACTGATAGACTGAAGTGGGAAAGGAGGTGGTCAGTTGGATGGACTGATGGACTGAAGTGGGGAAGGATGTGGTCAGTCGGATAGACTGATGGACTTCAGTGGGAAGGATGTGGTCAGTTGGATGGACTGATAGACTGAAGTGGGAAGGATGTGGTCAGTTGGATGGACTGATAGACTGAAGTAAGAGGTGGTCAGTCGGATGGACTGATGGACTAAAGTGGGGAAGGAGGTGGTCAGTTGGATGGTCTGATAGAATGAAGTGGGGAAGGAGGTGGTCAGTCAGACGGACTGATAGACTGAATTAGTACAATGGTCAGTCAGATAGACTGAATTGGTGAAGGAGGTGGTCAGTCAGATGGACTGGAGAGGTGAAGGAATTGGTCAGTTAGAAGGACTGAGCTGTGGACAGTCAAATGGGTCGATGTTGTATTGTTGTAGTAAGAGTGTTGGAAACTGTACACAACTGCAAACAGTTGGGCTGATATTCCATCTGACTGATTATTCCCTTTGGTTTATTTGCAGTACTAATAAGTACTTACAGTCCATTTGCTGCAAACTTGTACTGATGAAATGGCAAATAAATATACATTTGAAATTAACAAATCGTCTTTAATGGCATAAAAGTTAATCATTTGTTCATACCAAATCGTCTCTATAATTTCAGATATTACCATGAAGAACAGGAAACGTTGGCAAAAACTCAGCTATCGATATGTTTGGTCCTAAAGACTGCATACTGTCAAGGTTATGCATTGCTTGACCAGTCTAATTGTAATGGCAGTATGGCACTTCACTTGGTTGACAATCTTTTCTGTGCTGTCGAGTATTCAGTAATACTTTTTAGTTTGTTCGTTGTTAATGCCACCACACTCAGCAACATTCCAGCTATTTGGCTGCGGTCCGTAAATAATAGAGTCTGGGCCAGACAATTCAGTGATCAACAGCATGAGCATCGATTTAAGCAATTGGGATACGATGACATGTGTCAACCAAGTCATCGAGCCTGACTACCTGATCCTGTTAGTTGCCTCTTACAAGCATAGGTTGCTGAAGACTGATTCTAACCTGGATCTTCACGAGTAATTTAGTATTAGTAGTGGTTGTACCGCCATATAGCTGGAATCTTGCTGAGTGAAGAGTTAAACAACAAATAAATAGAACAAATAGTTGTAGTTGGAGTAGTTGTACTAGTGAGTGAATGAGTATGGTCTTACGCCGCCTTTAGTAATATTCCAACAATATCAGAGCGGGGGACACCAGAAATGGGGTTCACACGTTGTACCCATGTGGGGAGTTGAGTTGTACTAGTAGTAACAGTAGTATACTACACATATCCAGATACTAGTATCTACTCAGATGTTATTTATTGTTCCCAAACAATAGTTATCATTTTCAACTCTCTTAGGAGTACGCAACACAAGCCGCCTTGGGGCGCTGGAAGGTTTTAACATCCATCCCTTACAAAGCAGGAACCTGAAGTAAGTTTCTTGGCCTGGGTGACGCTACAAATTTTGATGCTCCAAGTCAAAACTGAAGTTATTCAAAAGAGGGAATTCACTGGGATAAACCACATGTACCAAGTGGCAGAAGCAAACCAAGACCATCTGCATAACAAGCTAACACACAACCCAGAAGGCCATGCATCAGCCCCCCATACCCATAACAGGAACAGCAAATGTGCTGTCCACAAACAAAGCATAGGCTGTATTAAAAAAGTGATAAAAGGCACCACTTCAAGGCTTACATACCTACACAAAGGTTCACTGTATTGAAGTATTGAGGTGGTAACAAGTATTCTCCATGGACTGCAGCAGAGGCACATATTTCCAAGAAGAAGGTGTAGTGCTTCTAAGAATAACTGTCAGTTTCCCAGAAATGAAACCGAAAGTTGTGCATTTCTTAGATAAGGAGTTTGATTGATTCACAGCTCATGTCATATACAGGCTTATGCTGAGTATGGTAGTGTAGAACATGCCCCGGATTGGAGCTGCAATAAGTTCCGGTATTTCTCAAAATCATGTCAATGCTTCAAAGAAATATCATCATAATCATAACGACAATCAATGGTGTCAGTCTGACCATTCAGCAGTGAAAAGCCATGACCCCTAGTTTTCCTGGAAACAGGACAGTGTACGTTGAACACTTTGACAGGATGTTTTACAGTCTGTCATAGCAAGGATTTGACAGTAGGATCCACTATGGCTGGCAACGTAAGTATATCATTACACTTGTCTTAAGTTTAGTTTCAGGTGAATGGTCATCAAATCCTAGTTTGTGTTTCACATTTTGTTTTTATATTTTTAGTAAAGCAGCTGTGAATTGAATTTTACTTTTCGATGTTTCAGTAGACTCATTATATGCAATAAAGGGGCAAGTTCATGGTGACAGGGGAGGATTAAGTGTGTTCATGTTCACATTAACAGGTTTAGTATGGTTTTATAGCCTACTTCATGTTGTTGGTGACAGGGGCTAGGTCATGTTGTTGGTCATAGGGGCTAGGTCATGTTGTTGGTGACAGGGGCTAGGTTATGTTGTTGGTGACAGGGGCTAGGTCATGTTGTTGGTCATAGGGGCTAGGTCATGTTGATGGTGATGTGGGCTTGATCGTGTTGTTGGTGATGTGGGCTAGGTCATGTTGTTAATGATAGGGGCTAGGTCATGTTGATGGTGATGTGGGCTAGGTCATGTTGGTGATAGTGGCTAGGTTATGTTGTTGGTGATGTGGGCTAGATCATGTTGCTGGTGATGTGGGCTTGGCCATGTTGGTGGTGATAGGGGCTAGGTCATGTTCTTGGTGATACGGGCTAGGGTCATGTTGTTGGTGATAGGGGCTAGGTCATGTTGATGGTGATACGGGCTAGGTCAGGTTGATGGTGATAGGGGGTAGGTCACATTGATGGTGATAGGGGCTAGGTCATGTTGTTTGTGATAGAGGTTAGGTCATGTTGATGGTGATAGGGGCTAGGTCATGTTGTTTGTGATAGGTCTAGGTCATGTCACTGGTGACAGAGGCTAGGTCACGTTATTGGTGATAGAGGTTAGGTCATGTTGTTGGTGATTGAGGGTCTAGATCATGTTGACGGTAATAGGGGCTAGGTGACGTTGTTGGTGATAGGGTCTAGGGTCATGTTGTTGGTGATAGGGTCTAGGTCATGTTGACGGTGATAGGGTTTAGGTCATGTTGGTGGTGATAGGGGCTAGGTCATGTTGTTGGTGATAGGGTCTAGGTCAAGTTGATGATGATAGGGGCTAGGTCATGTTGATGGTGACAGGCTAGGTCATGTTGTTGGTGATAGAGGCAAGATCATGTTCATGGTGACAGAGGCTAGGTCATGTTCATGGTGATAGGGGCTAGGTCATGTTGATGGTGACAGGGGCTAGGTCATGTTGATGGTAATAGGGGCTTGGTGACGTTCATGGTGATAGGGGCTAGGTCACGATAATGATGATAGTGGCTAGGTCATTTTGTTTGTTATAGGGCTAGGTCATGTTGTTGGTGATAGGGGCTAGGTCATGTTGTTGGTGACAGAGGCTAGGACATGTTGATGGTGATAGGGGCTAGGTCATATTGTTGGTGATAGAGACTAGGTCATGTTGATGGTAATAGGGGCTAGGTCATGTTGTTGGTGTTAGGGGCTAGGTCAAGTTGATGGTGACAGAGGCTAGGTCATGTTGTTGGTGATAGGGGCTAGGTCATGTTGATGGTGACAGGGGCTAGGTCATGTTGATGGTAATAGGGGCTTGGTGACGTTCATGGTGATAGGGGCTAGGTCACGATAATGATGATAGTGGCTAGGTCATGTTGTTTGTTATAGGGCTAGGTCATGTTGTTGGTGATAGGGGCTAGGTCATGTTGTTGGTGACAGGGGCTAGGTCATGTTGTTGGTGATAGGGGCTAGGTCATGTTGTTGGTGACAGGGACTAGGTCATGTTGTTGGTGATAGGGGACATTACAGAGGTTGGGGAGGACCTGAATGTAGCCAGGTGGGGGATATGGGAACTGTGTTCACGACAGGCCACTTCGGAGATCAAGTCAACTGAAGGTCCTGCCATGTGGTACAGGTGATCAGGTGTAAGACATGATTAGTTGGTGATAACACTCATAGCAATAGGGTACAGAGGCCAGGGGACTTAAGGGTGGATATGTCTTATATTCCACGGGAGATAGTCACTAATATCCCACGCTGTGCACTCACTAGGAGCAAGAGTAGATTCAACATACCGAGATAAGTCGCACTGCAGTCTTTAGCTATCAATAATTCAATATTGCATTTCTAGCGGTTAGTCGACACAGTGTCACACTACGTACAGGCTGGGATCTGCTGGTAGCTGGGAGATGGGAATCATTTGTTGAGGGCTGTCATGAGGGGCACGATGGGAAATTTACTATTGGGGATCTAGGAAGTAAGAATCTTTAGTTCTCTGAAATTAAACAAATGGTAAAGCTTAATGGTAATATTAACTAATTTCTTAACATTTATATCATCTGCCCACTCATATGAAAACACAGCCCGCATGACCTGACCTGAAAAACTGACCACCCAGAGCAACAAAAAGCTTGAAAGGATTCATTCCCTACTAGAATGACCGTCATTTTGACTGAATTGTCTCAGCATTGATCATGTGGTTGTTTGGGGGCAAAGGAAAACCCATGATCCTCTATGGCAAGATTGATTGTGGAGACTTTAAATCCTTCAGTCATGTCTTGCTGGACTTCTTCTATGAGTGTACCCAGCAGGTGATTTGAGGACTGTAATGGGTTTGGACATCACCATTCATTCTGTTTGGTTGGAGTCATCTTTAGAACGGATCTGAGTTAAGCGCTTTCTATGATGCATCCATAACTATTGTAGTGTAGTCGAAACCTGCATCATCAACCACTCTTCCTGCATGTACGTGATGGCATCCAGAAGGCTATGAACAAATCCCACCTGATCCAGACAAACTGCTACAGGAGTGTCTGATGGTATGGTATCAAAGGACAGTTGAAGAGTGGAATAGTATAACCCACACAAGCCACGAATTGATATTGGTGCCATACAGTTTCTACTAACTGGCCTAGACTTGATCAGTTATTCTCTAGGCCTTGGGAGCATATGGTGAACATGAGAAGGAATCATAGGAGTGAGTGTGATAGCGTGAAATCACAGAGAGCCTGTACCATATCTGCCAAGGGTAACTGAGATCCAAATCCCCTGGAATCACCACATGGGATATTCTTGATGATCATCTTCATCAGAACCTGCCTGTATGGTAGAGAGAGCCTATGGACAGGAATCAAGTTAATGGAGTGTGTCTGTATACGACCCCTGAGGTCGTGTCCTCATCAAGGTGTGGCTAAGATTCAGGTACACTGTCTGCAGGAGGAGTCTGCGACAAAAACACAAGGAATCCACCCGGTTTGGATTCTCAACTGGGAACCCTAACAGTAAATCCTTTGGGAGGTTGACATCTCTGTTGTCAATGATAACCAATGTCATATGGAGCCTTGTTGAGTCCATGTAGTGACTGGCAGGTGCCCTCAGTGATGTAGATCCCATACAACACAGTGTGGTCACCAGGCCTGGAGGGACCTTGAGCTGCAACTGAATAGCATGTACAGTCTCTGCAGCCACCAAGTGTGGTGAGGTGAGGTGAGGTGAGGTGAGGTGAGGTGAAATTCGGTTTAACGTCGTGCTTGAGAATATTTCGCTCATATGACGACGTGCATGCGTGTGTATGTGTATGTGCGGCTGCTTGTTCTAGCCCAGACTTAAGCTGGTTTTATAGTGCTAGCCCACTGAGATACCATGCCGCAGTGAAGCATGAATACCCCACTCAGACACATTATACTGACTCCAAGCCGACCAGTCCTTGTTGGGCCCATTAATGCCGAGAGCCAGGCAGGGACCAACAAGTACCATATTTTAACATCTTTTGGTATGATGCGGTCAGGGATCGAACCCGCAACCTTCCGCTCTCCAGCGGACGCTCTAACCACTACACCACGGAGGCGGTTGCCACCAAGTGTCAGCCGAGTGGGATAAGGATAGGCATTTCAACACTGAAGGGCAGATGTTGTATCCTGACAATTGGGTACTCCATGTGATGGGTAAGCATCCCCTACTGGGGGCTCTGGCTGGTCTTAGGCAAGGATCTATCCAGTACACTGTCTGGGAACGTTCAGCTCAGCCAGGAACAGTCCCATGTTGCCTCAGAAATATTCCAACTACATGGTGTCAGTCTGTAAATAATTGAGCCTGGACCAGACGATCAAGTGATCAACATCATGAGCATTGATCAACACAATTGGGATATGATGACATGCATCAACCAAGTAAGGTGATTTCATGACTCAGGGTGTGAGAGGGAAAACTTGAAAAAAATGGATAGGTATATTAGTTTCTATCTATCCTTTTACCAAATATTTTAAGTTGAAAGAAAAAACTAAATATATTGACAATAAAAATGCTTTCTTAAACCAGCATTTGGTGTCACCTGGACTAATATTTCCTTTATTTTACACAATTATGTCAAAAACTTTCCAGCTGTTTGGGCTGAAGGTATTGCAAGGAAAGACAATAGATCACAGACAGGATAGGCTGCTTGTTGCTGGGATATCACAAGGTATTCTTTCCCACATTGCGTCTTATGACAAAATATGTAATAGAGTATTGTAAGGTGTTTGTAAACATTGTGGTGTGGAATACTAAAGGAAGGCCTAACTTACCACATTCATAGATATGTATTTACTGGTAGAATAAGGCAAAAATCATTGTTATTCTAATTTCAGAGTTACCATGCATCAGTAATTTCATTTAAAACCAGTGAAACCTCCCCTGCAGTGTTGAAGCTGAACATAACATGGGGGGACAACACCCATATTGTTGTGGCTGTCACCAACCAGAACAACTACCTGGAACGTATCCTGCTTCTGGAGAAATGCGAGTTCTACAACTTCCTGTGGTCGGGGTTCTCCAAGTCTCAGCTGAACAGTGTGCTGGTGTGGGGCCTTAAGGACAACCCAGCTACTGGCGCCGGCGCCAACCCACTGCTCGCATCTTACACTGTGGGGACTTCCAGGAAAGTTTCAGTTCCACAGTCTGGTGAACCAGAGGGTATGTCCAAACATGTTACATATTCAAGGTAGACATTGTAATTTTTTAGGCCAAACAGTTATTCCCATAAAACCCATTTCAACAAGGCCCAGGGTGCCTTCATATAACATATCAACAAGGCCCAGGGTGCCTCCATATAACACCACATCAACAAGGGACAGGGTGCCTCCATATAACACCACATCAACAAGGGACAGGGTGCCTCCATATAACACCATATCAACAAGTCCCAGGGTGCCTCCATATAACACCATATCAAAAAGTCTCAGGGTGCCTCCATATAACACCATATCAACAAGTCCCAGGGTGTCTCCATATAACACCATATCAACAAGTCCCAGGGTGTCTCCATATAACACCATATCAACAAGTCCCAGGGTGTCTCCATATAACACCATATCAACAAGTCCCAGGGTGTCTCCATATAACACCATATCAACAAGTCCCAGGGTGTCTCCATATAACACCATATCAACAAGCCTCCATATAACACCATATCAACAAGTCCAGGGTGCCTCCATATAACACCATATCAACAAGGGCCAGTGTGCCTCCATATAACACCATATCAACAAGTCCCAGGGTGTCTCCATATAACACCATATCAACAAGTCTCAGGGTGCCTCCATATAACACCATATCAACAAGTCTCAGGGTGCCTCCATATATCACCATATCAACAAGGGCCAGTGTGCCTCCATATAACACCATATCAACAAGTCCCAGGGTGCCTCCATATAACACCATATCAACAAGTCTCAGGGTGTTTCCATATAACATGATATCAACAAGTCTCAGGGTGCCTCCATATAACACCACATCAACAAGGGACAGGTGTGCCTCCATATAACACCATATCAACAAGTCCCAGGGTGCCTCCATATAACACCATATCAACAAGTCTCAGGGTGCCTCCATATAACATGATATCAACAAGTCTCAGGGTGCCTCCATATAACACCACATCAACAAGGGACAGGGTGCCTCCATATAACACCATATCAACAAGTCTCAGGGTGCCTCCATATAACACCATATCAACAAGGGACAGGGTGCCTCCATATAACACCACAACAACAAGTTTCAGGGTGCCTCCATATAACACCATATCAACAAGTCTCAGGGTGCCTCCATATAACACCATATCAACAAGTCCCAGGGTGCCTCCATATAACCCTTTTTTTAGGGTGCCTCCATATAACACATCAACAAGTCTCAGGGGGCCTCCATATAACACCATATCTATATGATCCAGGGCTCCTCAATATATCATCATATCAACTTGGTCCAGGGCTCCAATATTAATAACTTAACTGATTAAGTACACACAGAGCAAGTGGAGAATCAAGAACACTGAAGTACAAGACACCCAAATAAATAACAGATATTGTTGCACCACTAAGCCTTCATCAAACAGATTTGATCTTGATATATATTTTATAGAATCTCCCAGCATCCTTGTAATTATTTTGAGAGAATTACATGCAGCTAGGACGTCTTGAAAAAAGATGTTTGAGTCTGCCAGTCCGAGCTTCACCCTTAGCAACATCTTTTCTAGAACATCTTCTCCTGGGCCATTCAAGTGTAATTATGTAAACTATTGCATGCTGAGTTTAGTTGATCGAAGAGAACAGTACCAGATTCCAGCTGGACACTAAGCAAAAGTTTTCAAAGCCAGGAAATATCTTAATTTAGAATCACAATATTGTTCCAAATGAGAAGTCAGACATTCTTGCTGCGAGTGAGGTGACAGTTGCTTTGTTTCTGATTCATCTGTGACAGAGAGGATACATGACCTTGACCTTGCCGGCGAGTATCTCTTCTGGTCAAGTCATCGCATGACCGACTTGATGAAAACACAGGTATGTTCCTACACCTATATAAACCACATGACCAACTTGATGAAAACACAGGTATGTTCCTACACCTATATAAACCACATGACCGACTTGATGAAAACACAGGTATGTTCCTACACCTATATAAACCACATGACCGACTTGATGAAAACACAGGTATGTTCCTACACCTATATAAACCACAACCACATGACCGACTTGATGAAAACACAGGTATGTTCCTACACCTATATAAACCACATGACCGACTTGATGAAAACACAGGTATGTTCCTACACCTATATAAACCACATGACCGACTTGATGAAAACACAGGTATGTTCCTACACCTATATAAACCACATGACCGACTTGATGAAAACACAGGTATGTTCCTACACCTATATAAACCACATGACCCGACTTGATGAAAACACAGGTATGTTCCTACACCTATATAAACCACATGACCGACTTGATGAAAACACAGGTATGTTCCTACACCTATTGATGACTTGATGAAAACACAGGTATGTTCCTACACCTATATAAACCACATGACCGACTTGATGAAAACACAGGTATGTTCCTACACCTATATAAACCACATGACCGACTTGATGAAAACACAGGTATGTTCCTACACCTATATAAACCACTTGACCGACTTGATGAAAACACAGGTATGTTCCTACACCTATATAAACCACATGACCGACTTGATGAAAACACAGGTATGTTCCTACACCTATATAAACCACATGACCGACTTGATGAAAACACAGGTATGTTCCTACACCTATATAAACCACATGACCGACTTGATGAAAACACAGGTATGTTCCTACACCTATATAAACCACATGACCGACTTGATGAAAACACAGGTATGTTCCTACACCTATATAAACCACATGACCGACTTGATGAAAACACAGGTATGTTCCTACACCTATATAAAACCACATACTTGATGAAAACACAGGTATGTTCCTACACCTATATAAACCACATGACCGACTTGATGAAAACACAGGTATGTTCCTACACCTATATAAACCACATGACCGACTTGATGAAAACACAGGTATGTTCCTACACCTATATAAACCACTTGACCGACTTGATGAAAACACAGGTATGTTCCTACACCTATATAAACCACATGACCGACTTGATGAAAACACAGGTATGTTCCTACACCTATATAAACCACATGACCGACTTGATGAAAACACAGGTACCCTCCTACAAACTGATATAAACCATATGAAACAGGATCACTGATTTACATGTTGGTTGGTTGGTGTTTAATGCAGCATGCAGCAATATTCCAGCTATATGTCCACGGTCTGTAAATAATAGAGTCTGGACCAGACAACCCAGTGATCAACATCATAAGTATCAATCTATGCATATGGGAATACGAGGACATGTGTCAACCAGGTCAGCGAGTCTGACCACCCGATCCCATTAGTAACCTCTTACAACAAGCATGGGTTGCTGAAGGCCCATTCTAACACTGATCTTCACGAGTAATTACGTATCAGTAGTATTGTTATTAGTAGTAGTTGTAGTAGTGCCATAAAGCTGGAATATTGCTGAGAGAAGAGTTAAACAAAATAAAAAACAAGTAGTTGTAGTTGCAGTAGTTGTACTAGTAGTAACAGTAGTAGTAGTTGTAGAAGTATCAGCGAGTCTGTCAACCTGTGATCCCTTCAGTATTAACATGCTTTAATTATTTGACTTTACTGGATTTGGAGAACAGATAAGAACAGAATGTACCATTTTCAGTTTTTATTTAACAGAATTTCCACTTGATCTACATGCTTGGTATGCAGAACATGCTTCTGTTGTCTGAGTGCTGAATATGCCAGTTTTATACATAGGATACAGATCTGGGCCCCGTTTAACAAAGCTATCAGAGCGCTACGACTGTCCTACCTCCTATACTGTAACATAGACTTACGACAGTCGTAGCGCAACGATAGCTTTGTGAAATGGGGCCCTGCACTATGGGCAAGAAGACCATGGGGAATCCAGAACTAGAAAATCAAACCCAAGGAAAATTGAAATTAAAAAAATAAAAATCTGTTACATTTATTGGCAAAATTTCAGGATCACCTTGAGATGGAGGTGGAGCACGAGCCACCATTGACCTACAGCCTTAGACCTACAGGACCATCTTACAGTGAGGCAGGTCTGTGTGTTGTGTACTGTGAAAGAAGTCAGAAGGAGTTTGTTGTGATGTCGTCCACCCCGATCAGCACCGGCATCCCACTCCTGCCCGTCTGTCAGTCCAGGAACAACTACAGGGTCAAGGTCATTGGGTTAACAAACAATAAAGGTCACACATTCAGACAGCCATCTCGAATCTGTGAACAAAACACACCCTGTGGAAGCTCAAGCATCATTGACATCAAGACCTGTAAGTAATTTCAGCTGTTTTCTTGTCTCCATGCGTGAATAAATATTCTAGACGGTATCACACTAATGAAGCCTAAAGACAAAACCACTGTTTGTTTGACAGTAATTACCATGAGTCTAAGGAACACTTCATTTTATCATGAAAATATGTGACAAATGGTAATAACTGACAGCAACATTTTGGTTCAGTCCCAGGAAGAGGTCCATGAACACACACTGTGTCTAACATTTGAACACTAGCCCTCCCTTAAGTTCTGGATGTACATCAGTAACACATGTAAATCATTAAGGTATTATGCAACTTAAGTTGGTATACCAGTGAGGGATGTCAAGAATTGGCGTCACATGATGTAGTACATGCTGCAACCACAAAGCTGTCCCATCACCCCGATCCCTATCACCATTTAAGACCAATGTCAAAATAGACCAAGAACATATTTCATCCACACTACCCCACCACCCTGTGTCTATGACATAATATTTCCAAATGTCTGGACAGAAATTCAAGAGTGACTTATCATCATGTTCTCAACAGGTATGTCCAAAGACGATCTTGCAAAACTCCTGGAGAAGGCAGAAAGATACTGTCGGGACAACGCCCTAATTCCCAGGAAATATCCCATCACACAGATGTATCGGAATAAACCAGCATCCTACTTTGATAACATCATGTCCAACAGAAACGGAGTAATGGAGAAATACCTGAAGGACAACAATGGCGACCCATATTCTGCTATCAACCACAAGATCAGTGGCCTCTTCTTCAGTGGATCGTTCGACACAAGGGAAACAAATCCTCCACAACGGCCACCAAACTTCTCATTCTTTGGCGGAAGTCGACTTTTCCTCCCAGCAGAGGTACTGTTTTCATCAGACACCAGGATGTACTTTGCAGACTTCTTTTGTCACAAAACAGTACATTATGTCACAGCAGTTGTCACTATGAGGGGATCAGAGGAAGACAGATTCTGTGAAGGAAGACTCATTGAGCTGGACTTGAAGGACAACCCGTTTTTTACAGTCACAGAAAACATCTCGTATAGAAGAAACGAGACATCAGTCTTCCCTAATTCTGTAAGTAGTGATGAACGTCATCCAGCATCACAGGACCTCTCTTCTTCAGAAACACCAGTGGCCAGTCCAGCCTCTTCTTCAGAAACACCAGTGGCCAGTCCAGATTCTCCTTCATATACCATCCAAAAAGACGTCGAGAAGACATTCATGATGACGTCTGTCAACAGCTTCCACACAGAGTTTCTGTTCACTGAAGATGTCGACATCAAGGGCCTGACAAACAAATATGGGGAGAACAAAGTTTACCGAAGAGTAGTTCAAACTCGAGGCAAGGGACATAGTTTTCAAGATGGTATTCCAAAGAAAGCTTACTGTGGAATTTGCAACCTTGAAGACTGTTAATAGAAAATGTCAGTGTTGCGTTTTCTGTCTCTTGTTTAATGCTACATTTTACAATATTCCAACGGACAAAAGAAATATGGAAACAAACAATGACAGTTTGTAAAGTAGTCTGTCTCACAGTCCCTGAACGACATTTTTCCCCTACTTCCTAGCCCAGCAATGCTAAAGCCCTAAAAGAAGCAAGTCTAGATTTCTTCAGGTTCTGAATCTCTCTCTGGGGCTCTCTTCAATGTAAATGGGTTTATTTGTTAAAATCAAAATTATACATATTTAGAGACTAAGCGTTAGCCTATGGGTATAGATGTGAGGTTTTACTAACTCATAAACATTACTTTCATGTAAGCCAATAGTTTGCAAAGCTTTATATTTAGATAGTATTGAGGGTCTGCCCAACCGTTTTAGCAACAATCATGTGTAAGCCTGGGCTTTTTTTATATAATGTCAGCTCACTTCCTATTCACGTGACCATTCTGCGGAATGTCACATGCTGAAGGTTGAGCTCAGATGTGATGTTGCCGGCTTACAACTGGAAACAGGGACCCTGATGCTTCAGGGACTTACATTTGCTGGAAGCAGTGAACAAGAAAGTCCCATTCTGCATCCACATCAACCGTAAAACACTGGATGAATCCAACATCAGACTTTGAGGGAAGATTCAACTGTCTCACTTTCTGTCAACCGTCAATGTGTGTTTGTGCTTGTATTTACAAAGCTATTCTGTGATATCAATACAACATGAACATAGTTTTGTTTTGTTTTAGTGATTGTGTGGCTTGTATATTTACATGTCAATGTCTTATTATTGTATCATAATGTATAGGTACATGGTGTGATGTGAATTGACGAATTTGTGAGCATGTACATATATAATGGTTACTGAGTTATCTTGATCTCATCCAAGATATATCTGTTACTGAGTTAACTTGATCTCATCCGAGATATATCGCTTACTGAGTTAACTTGATCTCATCCAAGATATATTGCTTACTGAGTTAACTTGATCTCATCCAAGATATATTGCTTACTGAGTTAACTTGATCTCATCCGAGATATATTGCTTACTGAGTTAACTTGATCTCATCCGAAATATATCGCTTACTGAGTTAACTTGATCTCATCCGAGATATATTGCTTACTGAGTTAACTTGATCTCATCCAAGATATATTGCTTACTGAGTCAACTTGATCTCATCCAAGATATATTACTTACTGAGTTAACTTGATCTCATCCAAGATATATTGCTTACTGAGTTAACTTGATCTCATCCAAGATATATTGCTTACTGAGTTAACTTGATCTCATCCAAATATTGCTTATAGTCAACTTGATCTCATCCAAGCTTACTGAGTTAACTTGATCTCATCCAAGATAGCTTACTGAGTTAACTTGATCTCATCCAAGATATATTGCTTACTGAGTTAACTTGATCTCATCCAAGATATATAACTACTGAGTTACTCCAAGATAACTACTGATCTCATCCAGATATATAGTTGCTTACTGCTTACTGAGTTAACTTGATCTCATCCAAGATAATCAAGATATGGTTACTGGGTTAACTTGATCTCATCCAAGATATATAAACTTACTGAGTCAACTTGATCTCATCCAAGATATATCTGCTTACTGAGTTAACTTGATCTCATCCAAGATATATCTGTTACTGAGTTAACTTGATCTCATCCAAGATATATAAGCTTACTGAGTCAACTTGATCTCATCCAAGATATATCTCATCCAAGCTTACTGAGTTAACTTGATCTCATCCAAGATATATCTGTTACTGAGTTAACTTGATCTCATCCAAGATATATAAACTTACTGAGTTAACTTGATCTCATCCAAGATATATCTGTTACTGAGTTAACTTGATCTCATCCAAGATATAAGACTTACTGAGTTATCTCATCCAAGATATATCTGCTTACTGAGTTAACTTGATCTCATCCAAGATATATTGCTTACTGAGATAACTTGATCTCACCCAAGATATAATGCTTACTGAGTTAACTTGATCTCATCCAAGATATATCGCTTACTGAGTTAACTTGATCTCATCCGAGATATATCGCTTACTGAGTCAACTTGATCTCATCCAAGATATATAAACTTACTGAGTTAACTTGATCTCATCCAAGATATATATTGCTTACTGAGTTAACTTGATCTCATCCAAGATATATCGCTTACTGAGTTAACTTGATCTCACCCAAGATATATTGCTTACTGAGTTAACTTGATCACATCCGAGATATATCGCTTACTGAGTTTACTTGATCTCACCCAAGATATATCGCTTACTGAGTTAACTTGATCTCATCCAAGATATATCGCTTACTGAGTTAACTTGATCTCATCCAAGATATATTGCTTACTGAGTTAACTTGATCTCACCCAAGATATATTGCTTACTGAGTTAACTTGATCACATCCAAGATATATCTGTTACTGAGTTTACTTGATCTCATCCAAGATATAATGCTTACTGAGTTAACTTGATCTCATCCAAGATATATCGCTTACTGAGTTAACTTGATCTCATCCAAGATATATCGCTTACTGAGTTAACTTGATCTCATCCGAGATATATCGCTTACTGAGTTTACTTGATCTCACCCAAGATATATCACTTACTGAGTTAACTTGATCTCATCCAAGATATATCGCTTACTGAGTTAACTTGATCTCATCCAAGATATATCGCTTACTGAGTTAACTTGATCTCACCCAAGATATATTGCTTACTGAGTCAACTTGATCACATCCAAGATATATCTGTTACTGAGTTTACTTGATCTCATCCAAGATATATCTGTTACTGAGTTAACCTGATCTCACCCAAGATATATTGCTTACTGAGTTAACTTGATCTCATCCAAGATATATCGCTTACTGAGTCAACTTGATCTCATCCAAGATATATCGCTTACTGAGTTAACCTGATCTCACCCAAGATATATTGCTTACTGAGTTAACTTGATCTCATCCAGGATATATCGCTTACTGAGTCAACTTGATCTCATCCAAGATATAATGGTTACTGAGTTAACTTGATCTCATCCAAGATATATCTGTTACTGAGTTATCTTGATCTCATCCAAGATATATCGCTTACTGAGTTAACTTGATCTCATCCAAGATATATCGCTTACTGAGTTAACTTGATCTCATCCAAGATATATTGCTTACTGAGTTAACTTGATCTCACCCAAGATATATTGCTTACTGAGTTAACTTGATCTCATCCAAGATATATTGCTTACTGAGTTAACTTGATCTCATCCAAGATATATCGCTTACTGAGTTAACTTGATCTCATCCAAGATATATCTGTTACTGAGTTAACTTGATCTCATCCAAGATATATCGCTTACTGAGTTAACTTGATCTTATCCAAGATATATCGCTTACTGAGTTAACTTGATCTCATCCGAGATATATTGCTTACTGAGTTAACTTGATCTTATCCAAGATATATCGCTTACTGAGTTAACTTGATCTCATCCAAGATATATCGCTTACTGAGTTAACTTGATCTCATCCAAGATATATCGCTTACTGAGTTAACTTGATCTCACCCAAGATATATTGCTTACTGAGTTAACTTGATCTTATCCAAGATATATCGCTTACTGAGTTAACTTGATCTTATCCAAGATATATCGCTTACTGAGTTAACTTGATCTCATCCGAGATATATTGCTTACTGAGTTAACTTGATCTCATCCAAGATATATCTGTTACTGAGTAAACTTGATCTCATCCAAGATATATCACTTACTGAGTTAACTTGATCTCATCCAAGATATATTGCTTACTGAGTTAACTTGATCTCATCCAAGATATATCGCTTACTGAGTTAACTTGATCTCACCCAAGATAAAGTCAAAGCCATTAAAAATGCAATTACTAATTAATGCAATATTTCTGGTAAAGATTTTTGTCAACTTTTCCCCTGAAGGCACATACAAGCCACGTGTGCTGGGTCCCTTCTTGTGGAATTCTGGGTTTGAATCAAAGATAGGTTCTCGGTAATGAACTTTATTGCTCAAAACGCAACATTTGGCTGTATCCACAAGTTTCAGCAGTCACATGTCACACATTTTGCACGTGCATTCCTGTACTCTGGCCCCTTAAAGACGGCTCAAAAATGAAAATCACTTGTGAAAAAATGCCAGGCCTAACGCAAGACAACAGGAACCAGGCTATTGGAATGCTGAATCAGGGTGCTTCCCAAGTGGTGGTCGCCCGACACTTTCATGTTCATCCATCCACTAACGCTCATCTCAGACACCGTTTCAACACCACAGGAACAGTTGCCGATCGACACCGACCTGGTGAGCCACCTGTGACAACAGCTGCTCAAGACCGTCACATCCGACTTCAGCACCCGAACAACAGGTTCCAGACAGCTGTTGATACAGCAAGGGGAACAGTTGGGACATGGCAACGTCGTATTAGCCCACAAACAGTCCAAAGACGCCTGGCTACTTTTGGTATACGCTGTCGACCTTGGTAAGGTCGACGACACCTTTACTGTACCTTTACTACACCTTTATCTTACCTTTACTGCATCATCATCGACTTGCAAGACAGCGATGGGCAGCAAATCAGGGGTACCTGGATAACACTACATGGCGTGATGTCATCTTCTCGGATGAATCCCGATTCAACCTCAGTTTTCCTGATGGACGTCACTGCATTTACCGACATCGAGGTGAACGTTTTGCTTTAACTGCGTTCAGGAAAGGGATCGTTTTGGGGGTGGTGGCGTCAACATCAACTTTCGGTCACAGTTGGTGGTGGTTCAAGGCAACCTAAACTCTCAATGTTATGTCTTTCGTCCAGCGTTACTCCCTTTGCTGGCTCGACATGGCGTCTGTGGACAGCTGGTCTTTCAGCATGACAACGCCAGTCCCCACACTGCAAGGTTAATGAGAGACTTTCTGCAAAATCAGCATCTGCGTGCTATGGATTGGCCTGCTATGTCTCCAGACATGAACCCGATTGAACACCTGTGGGATGAACTTAGACGACGGGTTCAAACTCAACTCGTGCCGCCACGAACTGTTGCAGAGTTGACACAGGCACTTCAACATCATTGGCAAGCAATCCCACACCGTGTCTTGAGACGTTTGTGTCAGTCCATGCCTTGGGGGCTTCAGGCATGTGTCAGGGCTCAGGGTAGACATACCCGATATTGAATCTCGCTGACCCCTGCTGTGTTCTGTGACTATCAGACGTTCCTGATTTGTGCCTTTGTAATGGATTCTTCCATGACATTATCCATAAATGTTTGTTAAATTGATTTTTCCTTGTTATATGCATCTGTGATACAATTTGTAACAGATATAAATTATCTTAGTTCTAATCGTATGACATCACTTCCGTATGACATCACTTCCGGTTCTATGACATCACTTCCGGCCCTAAGACGTCATTTCCGGTTACAGTGTGATTAGTAATAGATGAACTTACTAAGATACTGATAAAATGTCAAGATAATATAATATCCAACTCTGATGTCGACAACCAATAGTTAGAAGCGTTAGAAGCTTCTGTCCTTAATGTGCTCGGTCAGGAGATTCCAATGTATAATAAGGTTTCTACCGTGATTTCTTTGGCCGTGTGTAATGTTTCTCCTCCCGGGATCCATCTCTCTCCGAGCAGTCTGGTCACCAGTTCCATGTATCCGACTTCCACTCTGATCCAATCTTGTCCCTCCTTAAGATCAATTAAGGAGGAGGAGATAGTGTTTTTAGATATCTCTGAGTCAACATTAGTGTTGCATGAAATAAACAAGTGGCGACGATTGCGTCTATAACGTCAAAGTACGCTGAATATACCTGAATTCCTATGTCCTAGAGGACAATGAGCAGAAAACTGGTTTTGGCGGCCAAC